TTTTAGTCAATCAAAAGTAAAGAAAATAGAAAAGGTGATAAGTTTACTCCTTGTCGAACACCATTGTCACAAGCAAGCAAAGTATTTCGAATTATAATTACTAAAAGATGCCAGCGAAAGCGCGGAACAATTGGGCAAGTGTTGAAACAAAGAGTGTGGACACAGTAATAAGGTGGACACAGTAAGGAATTGGACACGTTTAATGCATTTAATTCTTTTTCTGTAAAGAGACGAAAACGAGGAACATAATGCAAAAGACGGGCATTACCCCATTCATCTCTGTTGAAAAATAAAAATATCAAATACCCTAAATTGAAAAAGTGTGGCAAAGTGTGATTTTCATTGGGTTTTTTTTTCCTTTTAACTAAATAACCGTATGAACTACGTAAAATCCTTTGACATTACCGAAAAGGATCAAAATGAGTATACAATGAAAAAAATCCCATCTAATCGGATGAAAAAATAAAATCCAAAACACTTCACCAGGAATCAACCCCTCTGTATTTCAGAAACCGTTGACGCCACTCCAAATCTGTTGTCATACTCAAGTTGCAAAATTTTATTAGCAATTAAAAAAATCTCCATTAAAATAAGTTGAAAATAAACAATCTGTATATACAAATATGTGAACATTACCCAACCTGACCATTTCGCATTTCGCGGGCAGTACGTGGACTAAGCATGCGGTCTCCAAATTTGGATATTTTGGCTTTTTCTGTGGAAAAAGATTGTTTCAAAGACAAATTAAGGAAGTACAAAACACTACATGTATACGTCATATCACAAATATTTCCGACTTTGTATGGTTTTGTAGGAGTAACACTACATTATACATCTTACCATTTATATTATTCAATAACATTTTATAAAACAAACCATCTCGCCATATTATGCACGAGTAGATAATTTTATAGCTATTGTTGTGAAATATTTTTAAAACTGACTGTGAGTTCAATGGTGCATTTTGCAATGAATAGAAATAAGAAGATGTGGTATGAGAGCCAATGAGAAAACTCTCCATCCAAGTCATAATTTGTAAGAGTAAACAATCATAGGTCAAAGTACGACCTTCAACACGTAGCATTTGATTAACCCAAATAGCAAGCTATAAAGAGCCTCAAAATTTGTTTTATCATATTTTCGCCACAGCCGCAAATTTCTCCAATTAGGTCCTGTATTAATTGATCTTAATCTCCCTCCGAATTGTTTGAAACGTTGATTTTGTTAAATTGCATTGTCTCATTTTTCCTATTAATTGCACTCTCGCTAGCGATAGACACATATTTGAGCTGGGTTTATAGTTTACAGAAGCAGATCGGAATCAGTTATGACGTAGACAGTAATCATTCTAATCGTAATCATGTTCATTGACCATAACGACGATGAAAGCACATCATATAATGACGTTTCGACATCATATAATGAAGTAAACCAAACCACATCATATAAGATTACAAGCACATAATATAATGACACAACCACATCATATAAAGATATTTGCACATAATATAATGGTAACTGCACATCATATAATGATATGTACACATCATATAAGTATATCTGCACATCATATAAGTATATTTGCACATCATATAAGGATCTTTGCACATAATATAAGTACATTTGCACATCATATAAGAATGTTTGCACATCATATAAGAATGTTTGCACATCATATAAGTACATTCGCACATCATATAAGTACATTTGCACATCATATAAGTATATTTGCACATCATATAAGTATATAAGCACATCATATAAGTATATATGCACATCATATAAGTATATATGCACATCATATAAGTATGTTTGCACATCATATAATGATGTTTGCACATCATATAATGATGCTTGCACATCATATAATGATGTTTGCACATCATATAAGGATGTTTGCACATCATATAAAGGTGTTTGCACATCATATAATGACAATTGCACATCATATAAAGGTAGATGCACATCATATAATGAAAATGGTCATAACAAGACAGTGTTGGCGTTCCATAGGATTGATCAGTTGAGGTTTTGTTGAGCCTAGCCAATGATCATTTGTTGGGTAGTATTTATATAAAATTTGGTATTATTGGCCGGTCCAAAATTTGATGGCCAAATTCTAATTCATTTATCCAGTCTTTTACTATGTTGATCCATTTACTGTTTTTCTCTACATTTTTATAGATTTTATAGTCCAATGAATTAGGGGAGTTTACAATATGAGTTGGAAATTTCATAGATGAAAGTTGAATTTTTAAGTGCAGAGGAGTTCTGTTTGTTTTAGCTTTGCAAGCCACATTGTGTATGGTTTTACACTGTAACACTAAAATTTCTTTTTGAAATGTTATGTGTAGATGTTCAAAGGGATCAGAATATTTGAACTTATCAATAACACCCCAAACTTAACTTCGATCCATAAAGAGTGATTGGGACAACCAAAGAGTCAAATGACTATTCAAGTAAATTGCAGGGAATATCTAAAAAAAATTGTCTTCTGAATCTTTAACCAAACCTTTCTTTCTTTTTCAATAAGTATTTTGTTGGAAGGACATACATTTCCTTTATAATTAATTGTTATTCCATGGTAAGAGTTTTATTTAACTGTATTAATTTTTTTTAACTGTCTCCATATGTATATTCATTGTCTAATTTAAAGTAATTACAGTGTGATTTTCCATTGCAGTTAAATATCACTAATTTGTTTTTATTATTTATTTTTAAGATCAAGTTTCCATAAGGAACAATATTTATTCAACTCATGATCATTCAGTGCATTCTGTAGCACTTCTTATAATGTCATATGCATATGCAATATAATGCAAGTTTAAACCAATGATTATTGACTGAGTATTTGCATGATTTAGACCCCCTCCCACTTTTTAATCTACCCATACGTCACTGCTGAATGCTACAACACTATTTTGTTCGAGAGGCAAACATTTCAACGGGTTTCTTTCATATATCTAGCACAATTTAAATGTCATTCCTCTTTACAAAATGAAAATTCCGACAATTTCAGACGCCCTTTCCCCATCGCAACTTTTTTTGAAAACCTGCATCCACCACTCATAAGTTTCATTTGTATTAACCTGTACGGTAATTATACCCGACCGACGAAACTACCCAGATCGACTCTACAGACATACAAAAATTCAAGTCACGATATAAACAAATTAGCTAACATTAAATTATTGTATTATATCAACTGTGTAGTACCCCTACTCCTCTCGGTCCTATCCTCTGAAAAATTGGCAGAAAATTCGAAAATTAAGTCAAAATTGAATGAACGGGCCATTAACAAAGATCTGGATGTGGTTTACTGAATAGAGAATATTGTCCAAAAAAATATGAATAGAGGAAAATTAGCCGAAAAATTAAAGAACAGAGAATAATGGTTGCAAACGTATAAAGATCTATAAAGAATTACTGTAGAAAATAAAAGAATTAGGTAATACAATACTGAATACAAAAATGAACAATGTACAGAATAAAGAAATTATATAATTACAGAAAAAAATAATAGTAGAATTCCAGTTATATGATCACGACCGCGCTTTTTATCGACCCTCCCGCTTTCCCCCGCCTCAATATCTATACTATTAAATGAGAAGACCTCATTTTGTGTGTCGCTTCTCTTCCTTCCACAATAAACTAACCGTCAAGCCTTTGTGTCCTATAGGTACCATGCATAGTCGCATTTGTCATCCTCGCTTATGATTATTCCGTTTGGGTTATTTTGGGAAGAAAACGAAAATAAAGGCGTCCGGATATTGTTTCCGTCATCGGACGGACTTTTAAGTCATATACAAGACTTTCGTTGAGGACGGTTTAAAATTACGACCTCAAAATACACATAATTTTCATAGGTACTTGGGGACAGGACAATTATTTTCGCTTTTTCTGTATACTATGAACATACATATACTATAAATAAAGTGTATTTGCTATTTACTAATTACTATCGATTCCAAGTTTACTGCGGTCATATCATATCATAGGCGGATCGGGGGGTGGGGGCGGAGGGTGCTGGAAGCCCGCCCTCTCCCCCTTTTTCGTGGGAAAAATTTGGTAGATTATATAGGGAATCACAGAAACATGACTGTAGCGGGCCCCCTATTATGGCAGCCATTGCCCCCCCCCCCCCCCCCCCCCCAAAACCCCATTTATAAAAAGTTCTGGATCCGCCACTGTATATTATATAGAGATTATAGTATATGTCTGTTCATAGTATACAGAAAAATGCGAAAATAATTGAAATTAATAGAAAAAAAAAATAACGGATTTTGAAAAAAAAAGGGGAGGGCTAAACAAATTGTCCTGTCTCCAAGTACCTATGACTTTTGATACCTTTCCTGAAATTCTCCAGTCATAAAATCTTTTACAAAAATTCATCCTACAACAGTTTAATACTTTCAATCACGCTCCTTAATTATGCCTGCGATTTCGCGGGTGTGTTCTAGAAGAATTGAAAACAACTACATGTGTTATAATTAACTGTATTAAACAGCTCACGGGATAAATATCAACAGCACATACTGACATTGTCACTTTCATCAATTTTCACTACATATAATAAAAAATTCGTTTTAAAAAAAAAATACGGTACGTTTATTTGTGGTCAGATTTTGATAAACTTTGTTATACTAATTACAGAATTTTTAATATGATAATATTTACTGTGAAGGCTGTAAGCATTATTTTAGAATAAGATCCTAAATAACAATGAAGTGTGTAAACATCATGAGAAAACAAAATCAACTCAATCAATGAAAACAAAATTATGAACAAATAAACAAATAATTTTCAAACAATTCTGCGTCTTACAATACATTGTTTGTAAAAATCAATGACTTAAAAATAATCTATGGAGAAAAAATATGTTATGTGAATATGTCAATGTCCTGTTTATAAATGCCGCAATCACTTAGTTACACCGAAACTGATCTCATATTAGACTGCGTGCTTCCTGTTTTGTAGACTTATGGGTAGGTAAACTAAACTAGAGAGTTATTATACAGTGACCAGTGAAATGCACGCATTGGTAACCAACAATGGTAAAAACTCTGCGTATCCAAGAAAGCTTCATCAATTGAAATTTATTTTTGACAGTGAACTTTCTACGACTGAAGAAATCTAATTGTAAGTAGTGCTTTACTTTTTATCGTTTTTTTATTTCGAGTTAACTTATGTAGATACATATTTTTTTTCATTTTATGTTATAGTTTTAATCTATGGTGTTTTCATAGACGTCCGCGCTTCATAATGATTGATTGATTGCTGGCTTGCTTGCTTCACGTCGCTTGTTGCACACCGTTGTAAATGGTTAATATTTGATTCATTGAAAAGGCCAGTTATCATGTCATTATTATTTGTTTTTAATACTTTTTAGTTTGTGCTTAAAAGTTCGTTTTTTTTTCTGCTGTAACTGGAATTTCCACTTTTTTTACTAATTTGAAATTAATGTTCAGGTAAGGTTTTAATGAAAAATTACAGCGAACGAATGTTTTTTGATATTTAAATGGCCTGTAGACATTGTTAAATATTGTTTGAGATTATTACGTTTGCTTAACCCCAAACAACTCTTGCAATTAGTACATGGTAATCCGTATAACAGCTGTTTATGTTTTCATCTCATCATAGCGGCGTTGCAGGTAGATAATATTCTTAGAATGGTTCCCCGGCAAACCTTCAGCGGATGTAAATTAATTAGTTTTGTTCAAATAGTAGTTGTTGTTTTTTTTACGAAAGTTGCATATAAGTTTAAGAGCCGATTGCAGAATTTCAATCGAGTAATTTATAATCTGATTGGAAAAACTAATACGAAATAGACAGTCTAGGCTTATCAAAATTCTATATAATAAAATTACACCACGAAAACCGTACTTGTTTAATATAAAAAAAACGTTTTTACTTTTTTTTTTATTTATGTGTAAAACCTGGGACCAATAGATGGTTTTTTTTTTGTCATGTTAATATACAATCACAGTTGTGCAAATTTAAATATATGAATAGAAATGTAATATTCCATTCACCGTTTAATTTTATAAATTATTTTTTTAGGCCAATATGTCTGAAAGAAAGGCTGTAATTAAGAATGCTGACATGTCAGAAGACATGCAACAGGATGCTGTTGACTGTGCAACACAAGCTCTAGAGAAATACAACATTGAGAAAGACATTGCCGCTTACATCAAGAAAGAGTTCGACAAAAAATACAACCCAACATGGCATTGTATCGTTGGACGTAACTTTGGTAGCTACGTGACACATGAAACCAAACACTTCATATACTTTTACTTGGGACAAGTTGCCATCTTGCTCTTCAAATCCGGTTAGAGATTATACTAAATTATAAAGTACTAGTCACAGTAATCTTTATATATGACAAGCCTTATATCGCGCATCGGGTCCAAAGGAACGAAATGAACACTGCCAGCGTTATATTTAACCATGTGATTGCCGATTGCGGTAAACTATTGCCTATGAATTAATGATGTGAACATTTTAGATGAACAACATATTTTGACCTATTTATTATTGTTATACCTTGTTTTGTTACTAACGAGTTTATAATAAAATTTGAAAAAGCATTTTCTTTCCTTATATTTTATCACCAACTGATATTTACCTGCAAACTTAAGAACCGTTGCTTTTGTGATTTTGTTGTTGAACGATATGTACCAACCGTATAGGTCGTAAGTATGTAATAGTTTCGGTCCTTAGACAGTTTTTTATGACCCCGCCATAGCGGAGGGGGCATTAAGTTTTACCCTTGTCCGTCTGTACGTACGTCCCAAAGTTGGTTTCCGTTCTCTAACTTTAGTTTGCCTCAACCAAATGTTATGAAACTGATACACAATGCTTATTACCACAAAACACATATCAAGTTTGAATTTTGGTGGCGTCACTTTATCCGTTCTAGAGTTTTGCCCCTTTACAAATGGAAAAAATGCTGAATTTTCCGTTTCCGTTCTCTAATTTTTTTAAAGAATTGTATGTCAACAGCCTATTACGTTAGCTATGCGCGCTTCAGACAGGGTTTTTGATTTGTGATAAGTACCGATACATTTCGGAGAACACCGATATATTTAAAGGGGAATGTTGTCTAAGTGTATCTTAAAACCCACACATCCACATCATGCTAGTATTATTTGGAACAACTGCCGGTCACCCATAATATTAAAATAAGATGTGAGATTGCTAATGAGACAACTGACCAATTGGCAGTGAATTAAGCAACTATACGTCGACGTACGGCCTTTAACAATGAGCTTAACCCATACCGCACAGTAAGCTATACATGTCCTCCGAAATGGCATGTAAAACAATACAAAAGAGAAAACCAATGACCTGATTCCTATACAAAGCAATAAACGAAAAACAAATATAATATACAGCAACAATTTAAAGGACAACCATAACCCCATTATATAAATTAGAAGAGATCAGGGATATACGCCAAAGTGTGAACTACAGACAGCAACCAAACGACAAAAATTCAGAAGGCATCCTTAATCGTACTATGGAAAATCTATTTTGAAAGTTGTGAATAAATTGACCTTAGAACATTAAAGATATGTTGTCATTACAAAAAGTTCCTGACTTCAGTAATCCACGTGCACATGTTGTGGGGTTATTAGAGTCTGTTTCTCAATTATTTCCATCTTTTTAACACCGATCAATGGAACATCTGAAGGGAGAATACTAGAACAGGGGTTTTCGTCGTTCCTGTTATATTAAGAATTCGGGGGAAACTCACTGGCTAAGTCAACAAAACTAAGTTAAGCTTTACGATGGTTTATATATAACTTCCTCAATAGTGTAAAACAATTACAATAAAAGTTCAACAGTAAATATTCCAAAAAGATAAAACAACTGGTAATTCCAATAAATGTTCTATACTAAATACAATGAATGTCACTGTAAAATGCACGGCGTCCGTACAGTTTGACCGCTGGTATCCAACTGACCATTCGCATAGAAACGATTTAATATGAGTTACGTAATCTTACTTAATCATAACTACATGTAATAATGAAATTTGTCACGTAATGCTGTAAACAAATAATACAAATTAAAAAAATATATATCTGATAATAAGAGTTGGACAATGCTAGGATTAAAATGGATTAACGTCTTAACATGTAAGCTAACAATTTGAAGAACAATAGTCTCTTGCTTTTAGATAACGTTTGAATTTCAACGAAATAAAACAAAGTGGAAAATATCGCTGTCACAATACATACAGAAAAAGCACTCAACTTCAAAAATTCACGTTCAATAATGATAAAAAAAAAAAATTAACAAAACCGCGTACAATAAAAAAAATAAAACCGTATATAAAACAAATCTATCGTTTAAAGACGACCGCGCAAGACTCTCGTGAGTAGTCAATGTCGTTGAAAAAACCTCGTAGTCGTTTACTAAAGGCGAACTCTTGAGTAACAGATATGAAATCACCCGTTCTACACTCTAATATCAGTGGCTGTACATATCATACAGAGTATATATCATACTACTTCATTAAAAATGCCCAGAATACATTATGTACAGAAAAAAGTATAAAGCACAAGTCCTCTTTCTTGTTATATGAATGTCACGTTGATCCGCCTGTGGACATAACCAGTAAAGTTCGTTTGGCTTTGTGACAAATCCTTTCAGCCTCAAGGATAGGCAGAAACATTTGATTAACAATCAGAAGCTGTGGATGCAAGATAAAGTGATGGCTAAATTAATCACATTCCTTTACATAAACAAGATATAAATAAATAAAATAGTTTTACACACAGTATTAATGATTGATATTATAACCTTGCCAACAGTATGAATCAAAAACAAATGATGTGTAAAGAATTTATATGCACTCAAATCCAGTTCAATACTTCTTTAAAAACAGACGCAGATTTAAAGGTATGCTACATATGTGGTTAATGCAAATAAAATTGAAAATGGAATGGGGAATGTGTCAAAGAGACAACAACCCGACCTAAGAGCAGAAAACAGCTCAAGGCCACCAATGGGTCTTCAACACAGCGAGAAAATCCCGCACCCGGAGGCGGGCTTCAGCTGGCCCCTGAACAAAAATATGTACTAGTTCAGTGAAAATGGACGTCACACTAAACTCCGAAACATATAAATGAACTAAAATAAAAAAAAAACATGCAAGACTAACAAAGATTATTTACATGATCAACTCCTAACGTTGCCTTAATTGGCCCCATCTCTTTTTCAAATTCCTGAATCCGCAACTGCACAATATATTCTGTTTTAAATATAATGATTATATAAATTTCGGTGCACCTCATTCAGATTACTCAACTTATTTCTGAATCCTGCAAGAACTATTTATGAGTACTGCTTAGCTAGGATTTTAGCATTTTGAATTTGAAAGAGATGTGGACATATTCCTTGCCATTGTTTTGTAACAGAACAATTACTGGGAAATAAAATTTGAATATTGTAGGAAGCTGTATGATCATATAATATTTAAAGGTTATAATAAACTGAAATATAAATTCATTCCTGCACGTCGCTGTTTTGGTAAAGGACATCCGGAACTAAGATGAATTAAATTGTATTTGAAAGGCTATTGAAAGTTTCATTTTCGATAGAATTTTTGTGCTTTTTTTTAAATTTCCTTCCTGTTCATTTTGAGATAAATACATAGAAATTAAACTTTTCAACCATCTATATATAGAAGCATAAATTCTAGTTCTTTCATTTCTATTACATTTACTCAAATTAGAAATTTACTAGTTAGTTCATAGATGCACATGTCATGGATTAAACATGTCTTTTTAAAACAAATTTCAAATGAATAAAGGGTAAACTTGGTCTCTGGTAGAGAGCTATCTCATTGGCGTTCATACAACATCTTCTTATTTATATATATAGAGAGATTATTTGTACTAACAGTAACATATATTGTAACATTATTTATCAAAAACGTTTCACGACTAACCTAATTTTCTTAAGCAGAAAACTTTAAAACACACACACCTCAACAACAACTGAACAGAGCTGCCACTTGACATCAGGTCTCCTGCTACACATTGGCCCCCAAAATTACCACATAAACTTTACAAAGTTTCTTTTCTAATTTTTGGATCAATTTAAATTTCAACTGTAAATATTTCTGTTCAGCTGACTACATCTAAAGGGACGCATTGTCTTTTTTTTAAGTTTACGTTTTGTTGATAGCCGAATTAACTACTCTTTCCTCTTTCACTTTTATAATGGAATAAAATTTTCCCATTTAATTTTAAAAACGGTCTTTCGATTAATCTGTGACAATATAGCCATCGGTTGAAGCCATTTCATATCATAGGAATAAAATTTTGGTAACTAAACTATTAGTAAAACGTACACGTTATACTTTGAAGTACATAGTCCTGAATAAAGCCATCATTTTTTATTTGCTGGATAATTGTTATGTTTATTTTGGAGATAAAGTATTATACCATCAAGGACAGGGACCAAAACTATGATTGACAGTTTATGGCTAGAGAGGTAGGCCCAATTTACCCTGTATTTGTTTTACTCATTCACGGACAAAACCTACTGAAATTTTAAGATTCTATCACATTACTTTTGTTCAATTTTACCTTTTTCCATAAATTATGATGCTACTCAACGCTAAACATGTTGTCAACTTGCTGTTGAAGACATTTTGATACACATGCAATTGAAAACAGTTCTTGTAGAAATTGGCTTGACGGACGTCTCCAAACAAAATAGATTTATTTGTATATATATCTTAACTTCCACCAGTATTTTGCTTTTAGGTAAGAATTATAAATGTCCTTTTCGTGCCGCGGTTCCTACCCCCAGAACACCATAAAACGTTGGTGACATATCCCGTTAGTCCGACAACCATTATGCCGACATCCTATTAATCCGACAGCCCATTACTTCGATGTCCCATTATTCCGACAGTCCATTATTCCGACAGCTCATTATTCTGACAATGCGTCTGTTATAAGTGTATGGGTAAATTTTCTCAAAAAGACCAACTCCGTTCTCGATAATATTTGCGGTTGTCCGTTTAGATTCCAATTATTCTTCTCATGCGGGATATTTGTCTCAGTACCTTGGAATTGATACACATGCTTAGTGCAACTGCTGAGTCCTTATCCTTGTTTCCCCTCCCCCTTTTCGTTATACGGGCCCGAGTATTTTATTTGTCTTTATATTTCGGCGTTTGTGTGTCCATTGCCATTCTGTGCTGTTCTATTTCCCAGTTTTGTTTTTGTCTCTCGATTTACCTTCTTTTTAATAGATCTTTGGTTTCAGGCCTTCTTTCGTATCAAGGGAGTGGGGTTTCACCACTATTAACTACATAAATAAATGTATCAGAGGTGGATAACCCTACTCGCCCTCTTTGGTCGTAACACTTTCAAACCCTTGTATCACTCATCAACTAATTATTATTAAATTTTGTCGCCGAAGATGGGACTATTTCTTTATTGAATTTGATTGTCATGCAAGGACCCAATCATGCCACCAAACAGTTGTATCCAAAGCTTTCCGACAACATCAATTAATATTGTTTTATGCAGAAATTGTCCTAGGATCCGTAGCAAAAATGTTA